TCACACACACACGCGCGCGCGCACGCGCATGCACACACATGCATGCACGCACACACACACATATGCATATGCACACACGCACAAACACATTCATATACACATTTTAACACAGTGAACTTAAAATCTAGCTTTCATTATTCTGGTTCCAGAAAAATCATAAAAAAACATCACCGTATGACGCGGCGCCTGGTAGACGAATATAACCTTTCGTAATGCTCATCAGAGATATTCGTGAGAGCGCAAAACAGAGACGGATATTAAGTACACTGCACAAATAAACAGCATAATTTGAACGTGTTCGGTATATTAATGATTAAAAACACGCTCACTACGTGCACCACATATCATATTTCTCAAATTTTATGGATCTTTCCGTAAAATAGGCGAAAACTATTTGCGTACAGGTACGACTATTGATGAGTAAAAGTGAACATAAAGATTACATCACTTCATACAGCTGTTAAACTCCAATTTTAAGTGAAAGGTTAATCTTAATTTGAAACTGCCTTCGCTTGACATCATGTATTTATGTAGAAAAGTATTAATCATATAGAAACAATAAAAGGATGTCAGAGACGCACTTTTTTGTGGTTTAATTTGTAGCTTGTGGAGATGCAAATCCTTCTGAGGTAGCTTTCTTTCCATCGCACATAAAGGAGTCATAAAACTATGTATGAGTCATATTTTGAACACGTTCAAGGACCAGGTGGCAGAGCCAAAAAAGAAAAAAAAGGAATTGCATTATAAATAGCTGCTGTTGGAATACTGAAGTGGAATTGAAAAAGTAGGCTGTTGTGAAAGGGCGGACCATGCACCCTGGGAGTGCTGTCGTAGACGGTGACATCTATTCGGATATGAACAGACTGAAAATCCCTGACCGTCAGGGTGAAGACTACTGCCCTATATCAAAAACAAAGATTCGGCGTAATTCCTCTGACTCTCAGGACTCTCAGATGTTAACGCAAAAACTGTCTGTTATTATTTACATCTCTCTTCAATAAAGGATACAAGATCGATAACGGGAGAGGCAACTGGTAGCAAGATTAAGCAGAGGTTAACTGACTCGAAAATAACAACCTTAGTCCGGGTGGGAAACCACGATATTTTAATCAGCCTATGGTAGCCCAAAACAAACGCCATTACCTAAAAAATTGTGATAGATCGTGCTGTCAAGTCCAGGTTTTTGTATTGAGGATTCAAGCTGCTTAGCAGCTGCTCTAATTAATACAACTCACATTTATCACAGATAAACGACTTCTTCAAGCCAAAGAAACGAACAGAGCTAATTAAATTTTCAGAAATGCCCTACAATATGTACTACTGCCCCGTCAACGTTTGGTTGCCTGTTTGTTGTTGGTTTTTATCACACATTTCTGTGAAGAAAAAATCAATACGACTGCCCTGGACATTAAATTGGGCCTACTTCCATTATCATAACTGCACATCGGCTTGCCTGGGAAGTGCACCCCGAGTTTCGGTATATTTCATTCTTTATTTTCTATGATACGGATAAAATCCTTGAATGCGATATTTTAAACGCTAAAATTATTCAGAATAGTTGGTATTTAACACAGGTACATTTTTTTGTATCAGGATATATTGTTGTACCCAGAAGAAAGAGAACTGAATAAATATTTAACATTTATTGTTTTATCCATAGGAGCGGTAGTTGAATTTTTGGCGCGAAAGAATTGAGTAAAGCTTTTTTTCTGACATTCAAGTTTCCATTCACAATTCTAACCTAAAAACACCTTCTTACACTTCTCCGCAACAACAATGAAAAACTCCTTCTTACTATGTATTGTAAAGACCGGTATTTTCTCACTTGGCTAGAGATAAATCAAAAGAAGAAAATAGTTACAAGAAAGTAGAAAGAGGCCGGTAGCCAGGCGTACCCATTTTAGCGGTTGTAAAGGCATGTAACCCCATTTATCACACAGCGGCCGGATATGTGTACCAGGATTCACCCTAGCGTACCTCTCTATCAGACTTTACGAAAGGCGTCGGACCGTCGGACATGCCTGGCAAATTTCGTCTCGGTCCGATAAAAAATCTTGTATCGTCGGACCTTACGTCCGGCGAGTTTTCAAACTGACTGGGAACGTGTAAATATAAGGGATACGTTGTTGTTTCTTTTCTGGACGATATATTTTACTTCATTCGAAAAGAGAGACGGGGTGAAAATCTCGGGGAGTTCCCAGCTGATTATACATAATTTATTAACCTCAGTTTCACTCACAAATACTATTTTGTGACTGGCTGAGGTTGGGGGATTCCTGGATGATGTAATGTACAGTCTCGTTTTCGTTTTCGTAATACCCCTACACAACAAAATGGCCGCAACACATGTGCTCGTGCTAGTTGCGTTTTTACAGACTTGATCCTCTGTTTCTTCATTATCAGTCGTACACAGTACTCATGGACAAGCCTTTTGTTTAGAAAATGACATTGTTGAACTTTAAACACTTTGTTGGTGCAAAGCGTGGCACAAATGAAAACGAAGTGAGGAAGAGAAACGGAAGTTTACTAAAATTGGAAAGAAGGTAGGCCCTGGCGGACTTGTGATCTGTAGATGAGGAAAATAGTGTGTGCCGAGTGTCAGGAGTACTAAAGTTATCATTTTGATCAATAGCAACATAAATGTTACAGCTTTATTACGGGTTCTTAAATTATGGAACATATGTACGTATTTGCATGTAGGCCTACCGTTCACCACGAGTTTGAGAAAGTGCACATGAACTTGATGAAAGCTCTCAGTTTGAGTTTCTTTTTATAAAAAAAAGAAATAAAATTAAGAAGGAACTTAGACTCGGGCTTTTTCATTAAATAAAAAACACTGTTATGCAAGTAATTTTTTGTCTTTTTTTTCCTTTCTTATTTTACTTTTTTACAAATAAATATATATCAAAAATTTAATATTTGATTTAATGTCAATGAATTAAAACGTTAGAAAATACATATTAAAACATGAATAATTGTTCATATTTCTATTATTTTACTTCGGTCTGACAGATTTTGTTTCGGTCTGACAGAATTTTCAAGCTTGTCAGACCGAATGTCTGACAGATTTTTTGGCCTTTCGTAAAGTCTGCAATACACGATAAAAAGTTTACCATCATTTTTACATAATCAACTAACAATGTTGTAAAGATGCAGGAAATGTCAAACAATCACTTTTACGTATCTTATTAGTTTAATAATGAGACTGTTAACATGCCTAAGAATTGAATCTGAGGAAATGTAAAAAAACAGCACACCTTCTAAAATAATGGCACGATTATGCTGATTTACGTACTCAACCTGCATTTTAGTAAAATTGACCACTCCTGTGACTTTCATGACAATTGGCCTATCTGTTTTTCTTATATTGTGTTTACAGTGTTGCATATATGCTGAAAAAAGAAAAAAAAGCATAACTACTAAAATAGTGGCCCGATCATGCCAATTTTCGAACTTGACCTGCGTTTTAGTAAGATCAATTTTTCCTGTGAGTTTCATGACAACAGGCCTATCGGTTTTTGTTGAAATGTGTTTACAGTGTTGCATATATGCTGAAAAGTGAAAAAACAGCATAACTTCTACAATAATGGCCCGATCATGCTGATTTTCGAACTTGACCTGCATTTTATGAATATTCATCAGCTCNGAAAAAAAGAGCCCCCCCCCCCCCTTTCGTTGACCCCACTTGAGAAATGTCATAGAAACAACATCGAATGTTGATCTAGAACTGGACTTTTTCGACTTAATGGGCGGTTCCCTTTAACACCCTCCCACCCCTACCGTACCCGCGGGCCAGTATTTTCTACATCTTAAAATCCTTAGCAAAATCGTTTATACTTCTGCGATAGCACCTTCAGTGCATCGCGGTGCACTAGCTCATATGCAATACTATCTACTCTTCCGGGGTTTCGGAGACAAAAATAAAGCTTCTTTTAAGCTCGTTACTCAGACTGAGTTTATTAGTACGGCGAAAGAATTTGCAGCAAAACCATGCAACCAGATACCTTCTTGGCATGAAAAAAGCACATATTTAAATACTTTCAAAAGGAAGCTTTCGAGACAGTTCAGATAAGTTCAACAAAGAGAGAGTAAAACAGCGGACCGACCCGTGTCCTCAAAGTTCCACGGTTCAGAGGCGGGTGACACGCAATGCGGGCGATCTATGGGAGCAACCTACTGTGAGCCGGAGAACTTCATATTTCTTATAACATCTCAACAAAATAACCTGTCCCCATAATATCCAACACCACTGCTGACTTATGGGACAAATTGTCTTGCTGTGTGAGTCGGTGTGACGTTTTCAAAGATGTTTCAACCCTGGTGCGTTGAGTTTGTTTTTAATTGGTAATAAGTCGTAAATGTCAGAAATCAACTACCGCTGCGGCGTCTGTACACCGGGCCAGACAGATGCCCTATATTTGAAAGCTTTATGTTGTTACTCACAGGTCATATGGGGCCTTCATTGCAAACATGAATAAAAGATGTTGTTAACTTTAGTTTGCGGGTCTACTCTACGTCGCACATGCCTTAATGTCAAGGCGTTTCTTTTTGTTTACGAGGTAAAAGCTGTGTCAAACAGGTAGCAGCGTTAAAATGTTATCGTTTGCGTTGTGAAATAGCGTGCATAAAGTGAGAGTCGTCCAATCCAAAAACTGTGAATATTTTTTCATAATATTCAAGTCATGTTATTCTGCCGCGACAGGCATGAAAGCCTATATACTACGGTGTAAACGCACCCTGAGTCTCGGGATCTTTCTAGAACAGGATACTTCCACCGGTATTGGCGAGTATAGAGGGGACTTATCACTATAAGCAGCCTTTGAACTCAGGGTAACCCTATCAGACCGGGTCAGATTAACCGGAGTCATTACGTTTACATAGATCAGGCAGCGCAGTAGGTGCGCCGTAAAAAGTGTTTAAATATAATATGCTGAACGGAGAGTGCAAAACAACGTTGGTGCACTTGTTAAGGAAAATAGCAGCGTCTCAGATCGTTTTACCTTCAGAGTCTCGTCCGATCCCTTGTAGCCACTGTTCCTCAGCGTCTGTGCGAGCTCGTCAAAGGTCAGACTGCCGCTGCCGTCTTTATCGGCGTTCTTGAAGAATGCCTCGTATTTTTTCTGCTCTGATGCCATAATGATTCGTACGTGGTTGGCGAGTTGATGAAACCGTTTGGTTGTGAGCGGGAGAGAGAAAGTGCCGACCGGTGATATATTCTGCTCTACTCGGGCGGGGTATAAAATGACGCCATGATGGTCTAATATGTTTCAGGTGGGGTAAAGATTGGTGCGGCACGCAGGAATGTGAAGCAAGATAATAAACGATGAACAAGGCATATCGCTTCGTTATCATCCATTTTCATGCAACCGTGATCGGCAAATGCTTTTCATCCGTGTGCCACGTACACCCTCTGGCTAAATCGTGGATCTTCCAATTAAATGTTTTTAAAAAATCAAAATGCATAATAAATTTTTTAACAACTCAGTGAGGTACCCCAGTAGGCCTAGGTGTCAATAACAGCCATTTAGGCACACAGTATAATCCAAATTCGGCGAGCTTAAAATCCAGCTGACGGGCATGCTAGTTGCTTATACTTTACTATCCATTATATACACCCAAATCCATCCATGGATTGTCTAATAAAAGAGAGGTTTATTGAAAAAAAAAGGGATTAAATAAGGTGGTCAACAAAATGATTCAATATAGATCACGTAAAAGTTACTGCAGAGAAATATACCAACGTAAATTTCATAGGTTAAGAAATCGTGGTCGTTGGCTTGTGTTAAATTTCAAGAACACCAAGTGTCAACATCCCGTCATCTTGACTATTTGAAAACCGAACGTATTCACGTGTGACATTGCGGCTGTTATTGTCCATTTTCATTTTTTTTATCTGCATCATTTTTGTCCAAAGAATGTTAAGGGTCATCCATTTTTATCATCATTTAAAAAAGTGATGATCCAAATCGCTGTCAAAGTTCATCATTTTTGGCTTTTCACCTTGTTATTGTACTCTCCGAGGGGCAGAGTCTTTGAAGTTGAAGATAAAAATGGATGATCCTTTGAGAGAGAGAGAGAGAGAGAGAGAGAGAGAGGGGAGGGCGGGGGTCCATTCACCATGGTAACAGCGAGAGAAGACTGAGGAGACCCCTGGTGGTGGTGGGGGGAGGGGGTAGAGGGCGCCATTGTTCTGACTAGCGTGACAGATGAGACCCGAGAAATACCATGTACAAGTACACCAATCGCATTAATGGCTCTGCCTACACCTACAGGGACGCATTTAATGTCAAACCCCAGCAAATGAAGGCTGAGAGTAACGGATGTTGTTAATTTTCCAATATAGTTGTGTTTTCATACAGATATACATAATTTTAATTTGCAGTCACTTAAACAGAAAACGAACAAACGCAGGCATACACACACAAATACACACATTTTGAATTTACAAAACATGAGAGTGATATCTTCAGTATATATTAATGCAAATATCGAGATCAATTTAATCATTAATTTCATCATTAAATTTAATTTCTCCCTTGCTGATAACTTGGATCAGCTAGGGAGAAAATACATTTAATGTAACCTGTTAATTATATCTATCACTGTAGGGCACGAGGGCCTAGGGGAAGAGTTTATCTGCTCCCACATTTTAAAACAGGTCATTTCTAAGCGAACTTTAAAGCTTAAATGCATAGACGGTAATCTGGTGTACCTATACGACACACCGAGGTTATGAAGTTTTTTTTTCTAATGCAATATTTTCATTTTAAAATTTGTTAACCCCTTGACACTGCTACTTCATATACTATTATTATTATTATTATTATTATTATTAGTAGTAGTAGTAGTAGTAGTAGTAGTAGTAGTAGTAGTAGTAGTAGTAGTAGTATCGATCTACTCACGTTTGTTTGATTTCCTCATCTCCGGAGCCAAATGTTGGTAAATCTTATTTTTTCATTACTTACAAATTGTCAAACTACGCTATCATTATATCCAGATAAGCTTTGAATCTTAGAATGTATAATATTTGACCGAATGTTTCTCTGCGTTATCACAGGTAAACCTGCTGTAAAGTACATTTTATCGAGCACTGAACTTGGACTTCATTTCTGTGGTGTCGGGCAGAATAGCCGCATCTGTAAATAACTGTAAAAAAGTTGACAAGTAAAATGTTTAACTCGATCAAGGTAAAATATAGTATTTTCAACTAAATAAAACAAATGAAAAATGAAATAAGATAAATAACTGAATTAAAATATTTAGATAAAGTTGAAAAAGATTACGGTGATGATGGAAAGAAATTAAATTTAAAAAATCCTAAATCAAAAGAAGGCACTGCATGCCATTGTTATACAGGATGTTTATAGGTAGGTACACTTAATAATGCAAATTCCAAAAATTGACTGGTTTTCTTTCTCCAGCCGATATTCACTCCTTGGGTTAGCAAGAATTAATCTCTCCATTTAACTTTATTTATTGCAGGTAAAAACACGGCTAATATAAAATTTATCTTCTCCATGGTACAATTAAATAAACAAAAATAAAATATTATCAATATAACAATAAAGGGTTTATTGAAATTGTTGTCAAAAATAAATTTTAGCAATCCTCTTTTTATATAAAAAACTTAGATAGGCTGACTTAAAACGCTCTTATGCTTTTGAGTCCCTAATGAAGTTTTCGAGATTATCCCATAAAAGTATAGATGTAAGTGGGCCCATTAATTTGAACTTCTTTGTGTTTGCCACCAGGTAAATATAATTAATATTGTGTCTCTATTTCTGTGTGCATGACGTGTGTGTGTGTGTGTGTGTGTATGGTTTTGTTCTGTGTAAAAAGCTCAGAAAAGGACTATTACACACTCCTAGGCAGTGCAATCTAATTTTCTTTTTTCTTTTTGCTCCGCACAAAAAATCAAACAAAAACATTTTATTTATTTTTTCATATGTTTACTCACTCTTTCAAGATTCTGTAAAATATATTTATTAATTTCAACATTAAACACAAAATTAGAATCAGCTATGTGCGAAATATTCTAGATGACCGGCTTGAAACTACCACCAAGAAAATCCCCAAACACCGGCAGCAAAATCACTTTTAATTAATTTTTCCCAATTCTTGACAAATAAAGATATTAAAAAATTATTTTATAAATAAAATAAAACATTTTTCAGGTTCTTATAAGTTTGTACATGGGGGGGGATAACATTTTTGTTTCACTTAGCTTGGCAAATGTAAAATAAAAAATAGAAAAAAATCAGACAAAAACAAATTTTCGCGTAGACTATAGAAAATGAGAAAATTACGTGGTTTTGTCTCTTTACGTTATTGTACTTTTTTGTTAACAGTGGGCGACAGCTTAAAGAAGTGGTTTAGTTGATGCGCTGAAAACCACGGACGTGAGATTAAAAACGTACTAACTACTTCCTAAAGAGCACAAATTATTTACTGATTTATTTACAATATAAATACAATAAATCAACGACAAAAAAATTGAAGACATCTGGAAAACGTAGCACACGTTTGGAAGTGACAACGGCCTACTACGTGGCAAAATCAAATAACGAAGTATATGATAGCCTATTAAACAACTTAGTGCCTGTATATTAATCAAACGATATGAAATTATTACCAGAAGAAAGTACGCGAACTATATAAAATCATGGAAAACAATTAATCTTAAATAATATGTATAGATATAAATTGCTTAAAGATGAATTTTAGATCAAATTTTATAACTTGATTATTAATGTCCAAAAGTCACGTTCTTGACACAAATGTTCTGAATAAATCAACTTTGTTGGTCCGTTTTTACGAAAATGCCTCAATTTTGACGTCATTTTATATACTCCTATCTTATAAAAATTCTAAATTATGAATGATTTCCCTCCTCTACACCCATTTTTAAATGGGTGTTTCATATAACATTAAAATGGAGCCCCATGGCACTTTTTTTTGGCTGTGGGGTCACCTTGAAATGAAAAATTTAGACATCAAGGATAAAGAAAACATAAGTGCCCATTTTTTTGCTACTGGGTTGCACGTGGACCACACTGCTTATATTTTTATGTGTTTGCTTGTTATGTAACACATGAAAAGAATAAAGCTCTTAAATAAATGTAACGATTAAGATACTTTTTTCTGTAGGTAGGCCTAATGTTGAGAAGATATGGCGGCTAATTGAATAATTTTGCACCAATCAATTGTTTTAGTCTAGAGAAATATGCTATATTATGGAACATTAGACAAGGATAAAAATCACGAGTAGAAAACCTTAAGATAATCGAATTTTTATAATCATGAAAACTTGATCGACTTATATCGTGTCATGGGTTTGATGGATCCGTCTAGTCTCCCTAAGGGAGCTCTTCTGTTCGGGGAGGATCAAATTTTCTGTGACGCCAGTTTATTTGGAGGTCAGCTGATCGATTCAGGTCGAACGTCTTTCTGTCTATTTTTCTTGGATTAAACTGTCTAAGCAATATGTAAGTAATTTTTAGCTTCTTGATACTAGTTAATGGTTAGCTCTACGAGTCTATATAGTCCACAAGCTGGTAGTTTGCACGGAAAGCAGTGCGACGCATGTGGGATATTTTGTTTTTTTATTTTGCACCCTGGTTTGTTAGACTCCGGAGGAAGTGGGAGTTACAAGCAAGGCCAGGTGTTTTTCCTACCACCTGTATCAAAATACCAACACCGGATAGCATCCAAGATAACTAATCTACACAGACCTTGTTAGTAGCAGGGTTATAAGATACAGCTGATAACTGACTTTGGCGGTCGTGTTCTGTGAATGCAGTGTACCAGACGAGGAAAGAAAACCGCGATTTCCATATCCTGGTTGGTGTACTGAGTATATATATTTAGTATGAATGATCTTAATTTTCACTGGCTTGCGTCTTATCGAGGCCAAAACGGACATGAACTGCATCCAACCCAGCTGAGAATGTTCAGATTATTTGATTGCAGGGAGCATGTCCTGGTCATGCTGACTTGTGAATTTGCATACCAATAACTTGAATACAGTACTCTATATATTAGTTCATTGAAAGAAGAAAGTCTTGGGCACATATAGTCCCAGTAGAGCTTAATTGGAGATTATAAGAATTTATTTTGGTTGCAGGCAGTTTTATTAAGGTATGTGTTAATTAGTTCCAAAGTGTTCCAAGATATAATATAAGTGAGGTGACTCATCAATGCTTGTTTTT